AAAAAATGAATATATACTTTTTGATTTCATGATTTAAACAAAATATATTTTCAAACTTAAATGATAAAACTAACATTAATTAGTGAAGAAAATAGTAGTAATAAAATCAGAAATATATAGTAACTTCTTTGCAAAATCATTAACTAGTAGATTATCACGATCAACTCGACATATATAGAAACTCATCTCCTCATCAAAAGAATGTTAAGAAATACTTCATTAAGGGATGAATCAAGGCCCTCAATTTATAGCAAAAGACAATTTTCACAACAAAAGATTGTGGAATTGCTCTTGTGCTAGTCAACTCATGCATAGAGACTAATAGAGTATTGATAAAAATGTTGTTACGAACTTTTATTAGATAGAGATATTAAGTAAATCAAAACCACATGAGAGATAGGTGTTGATTTACCCGGTAATAAAAAGCTATTCATAGAAAAAGAAGAATAGGCAGAAAATACAAGCAAGATTTTTTCTTTCTTTTTTTTGGAGTCTGTAGTTGTATTTGAGTTGGATACTTAAGTTTATCTTTGTGGGAGGCTAATCGTGGGTTACAGGGTTTACATGGAGGGAATGAGTGAAAGAGAATTTTACACGAAAATATTGGAGGGAAGTTAAAATAATTGAAAATTAACTTTTGTTATTTTATTTCCCCCACCCCCCAACATTTTCAGGTATATTTCCATGCTTAGCACTTCCATCCTTTTAATGACTTTCCATTAAAATTATTAAGATTATATTTTTATCTTTATAATTTTGTATATGAATATGATTTCAACACTTTTTTGATTGAGGGGTTTTATTTGGAAAAAATGTTACGATTGATATTATGTATACACAAGATCAAGCTTATAGGGACATGCGTCATGATCCATAGATGCATCTATCATGCCGAGGTGTTCGTCCCGCTCCACAAGAAAGGAGACATTTTCTTATTGAACCTCCGGAATGAGAGTATATTTATTATATGATAAATTCAGGAGGAAGAACAATTTCTCTTATCAATTAATTAATTTAAACAGAAAATCAAGTATATGAGATT